AATACAAGGAACAGAAGAATGTATTAAATAATATAACCAAGATAATATTTGCAAATTCAGAATATTAAAAATTCTGTATGATAATAGGTATTCTATAAAAATATCTATTTTTCACATACATTAATAGCAAGACAAAAAATGATGAAAAGTAAATATATGTGTATATTTTTAAAATACTTAAAACATAATAACAAAATTTAATGTATGGTCCTTGTTTGATCCTGATTCAAACAAACAACTTAAAAAAGGGAAAGAGATTTTAAGACAATTGGTGAAATTTGAATGCCAACTAGATATTGATGATATTAAGGAACAGCGTTCTACCTTAGCAGTTACCTCAGTGAAATGAGCATTATACATTGATGGCAACCAATGTAAATGATTTTAGTGTCACTAGCATGGAAGTATTGGTTCAGAGTGAGGATCCAAAATATTGTGGTAGGGCAGATTCCCTCTTAGATTTTTTTTTCTTGGCAGATTCAAATGAGACCAGTGTTTGAGGTTAAAGCACTCACATTGGCCTCTTGTTGATCATTGAGAGAGGAAAAATTCCAGAGGCCCCCTGAAACTAAATTGTGAAATCCCTCCATGAGGGGAGAGAAAAGGAGAATATGTCATTTTTTTTCCATGTCTCTAATATCAAGAAGTATTCCCCTGAGGAAATTGAAGAGAAGGGATCAGGGAATAAGGTTGTGTGCGCCCAGCTCCTGATAAGCCTTCTCAAACTCTGAAATAACAACAGGATAACTAACTCCCTGTGGACTAAAAGGCACCTCTGGTCAGCCTCTTGGCTTAATTGGTCAGTTCTCAGACAGCAGGTTGCTGAGATTAGTGAAGAAGTTGCATCATGAGTATGTTTTCCTTCTCATCCCTCTGACCCCATGCCCTTAGATCTCTCTCTGCTAAGCAAATGTAACAGTTACTGATGCTGTCAGATTCAGGTTGAAAAACCTCTGGGATATATTATCATACCTGTATAGCATTCTCATCTTACCCTACTATACCACAATGCACATTTTTCTATACCCTAGGAAAAAAGAGAAAGAAATAGTGGGAATACCAAGAGAGTATATTAGGAGGGGATATACTGACTATTTGTTATTCTAACCCTTGACTCTCATTTATCACTGCAGTTCTTCCAGAACATTATTATTTTGCTGTGCTTTTCTCTGAGATTTTCCCTGCCCCCTTACTCCACCATTGAACTGCACCCACTCTAAGGGGACTGTAATGTGTTAAAAGCACAAGGTAACTAATAGAAATAAAGAGTGCAATGCCGCCTTCCTAGGGTTCCTCTTCTAAAGGGAGTCCCTCACTGATGGTCAAAGACAAACAACAGGGCAGATGAATGGTAGAGGGGATAAGTGGGAATGGGTAGCAATTGGAGGAACAAAACCTTAAAAGGGTGGCTCTTTCTCATGTTCTTTCCTTTTTTCTTTTTGAATTAACCCTCCTTTTTGTAACTGCAAAGTGACTGGTTGAATTAGAAGGAACTGGGATCTTCTCTCACCCATAAGGATGAGCTTCTCTTGTGAAATGCCCTGTGAAATTTCATGAAACACTGAAGGTGGGACTGGAGGGAGAAGGCTGCTTAGACCTGCCAGCAGGGGAGGGGAATAGGGTGGAAAGTAAGAGGAAGGTGGCATTACATGTTTCTTGTGGAGAAGTCAGCCCTCAGATACCAAGAATATGGGGTTCTCTTAAAAATCAGGTGGATGAGCAACTTGGAAGGGAAGGTTCTGAGTTGGATTATATAGATGTTGATTTTATTAATCTTTTTGCTAGACATAACTAGGTAGATTATTGGTTCCCAGTAATCTTCTCATTGAAAATATCTGTAATAACTCACCCCCTGCCTCTGGAGAATCGTTTTTCTTCCCCCTACCTTCCCCTGACACCTACACATAAAGCCAAGATGCAGTCATGTGATTTGGCTGAGAGCAGCCATTCTCTTGCTTGACCATGTCTCCTCCACTTGAGCCCGTGTCCTTGACTTCTCTGATTGAATAAGGAGGAGCACTTGACTCATTCTGGACCTTTCATGGTGTTCACAGTGACACATGACTCAGCCTGAACCTATGAAATGACTCCCCTTAGATTTTCCAGACTTAAGCCCCAAAATAATGCCATTTTCTTTCTGGTCAACAAGCTGTGTGAATGTGTACTGAGATCTGCACGCAAAAAGGTTCCATCCTCGTGGAGAAACTAAACCAAAAGAATGAAGTTGACACAGAGAAATGACAGCGAGAACGTCGGTAGTGTTTGATTTCCTGGTACCATCTGCTCCTGGGGCAACCCTACCTTTGCTTTTCCTCTGTTAGATTGCGTGAACCTATAAATTCCTCTTCAGCCTAAATGAGTTTAAGGACATTCCTATTACCAGAAACCAGAGAGCCCTGAAACAAAAGTGAAGTGATCACAACTAACAGATTATTTCTTCATGAATCTTAGGCCCAGCAGCAGCCCAGCTATAGATTGTTATAAAAGTTTTCCCCCTAATATCATGGTATTGAGATAATTAAAAATGTTTGACTCTAATATTTGCTCTATGACAATGATATAATTCATTAGTGTGCAAATGACTGATGGATATTTGTTCCAAATTCTTCAGGCTTCAAATTTATACATTAGTTCAGGAAAATATGGGCAATGAAGGTCCAACATTTGATTTATTTAGAAAAAAGGAGTTGTCTCTTATCAGGAGCTATCATTACATTTGTCCTTAACCCCTATTATGTACAGTGTGTCATGAACTCTGGTTTGCCTTCGTATGTAAAGAAATTGGGAACCAGCAATATTGTATATCTAGCAGTGACTTGGCATATTCTGGGGTATTGTATCACTGGTTCGACCTTTGGTTTTGTGGGGCACACAGGCACGCTCTCGTGTGTTCGCTCACGCTCTCTCTCTCTCTCTCTCTCTCTCAAGTTGGTGCCTATAACCCATGGTTAAGCAGCAAATTATTGGCAACAAATTGTAAATACACACATATATCCTTCCAAGTCATTTGTACACAATCCAAGTTTTTTCCTGCCCCTTCTGAGAAGTGCTAAGATTTATTTCACACTTACCTAAATTATACTATTAGGTATAACAAAATAATTTCAAATATATGAAATGAAGGAACCATGGAAAAAAATAATGGGTTGATCCTCAGTGTTATCAATGAGTAATGTTTGAACAGGAGAGATTTTAATAAGAGGTACCTAAAAGCATTCAAGTTATCTAACAAATAAGAAAAGTCTGTATTTCCTTCTAAAACAAAACATGGTTGAGAGACTGAAAAGTCCCTTAAGGGATCATTCTACACCTGTTCTACCTATTTAATCTTGTAGTTTTTAGGAAGCACAGCAGACAGTAAGTTGGTTGGATTCAGGTATCTGTCTCCTCCCACTCAAATGCTGCCACTGTTATACATTTGTCTTAAGTAATCTTCAAATAATCTCATTTATGAATTGATAATTACTTAATATGACATATCCCGGAGCTTTCTATGAAAAAAAGCAGTTTAGTGAGTGCTATTAAAAAGTTATTTATGGCAAAACAAATCTGAGAAACACTAGATAACAAAGATAAAGTGGTTTCTTTACTACAGGTCTTCTCAGAATGTTCTAACATGGTAATATATATTGTGAGTATCTGCCATAGAGATAACATTTCCCATACTTAATTTAATATGGGATTCTTTTTTTTAATCCTCTGCCAAGGACATTTTTTCTTCCATTGCTTTAGAGAGAGAGGAAGTGGGGCAGGGGGCGGGGAGGCAGGTGGGGGGACAGAGACATCAATGTGAGAGAGACCTTGATTGGTTTCCTGTTCATATGCACCCCAGACAGAGGTTGATTCCACATCCTGGGTATGTGCCCTGACCAGGAATCAAAACTGTGACATTTTGGTCCATGGGACGATGCTCTAACCAACTGAGCCACACTGGCCAGGGCCTTAATACGGGATTTTTTTTTTTTTTACTGTTTTTGAAACTAGAATTCCTCAGCACATACTGGAAGAAATAAATATTCTCCTAATTCTGTGTAAATATTTTACTTATTCAAGTCAAAAAGAGGTATGGCGCAAGAGTTTTGTTTAGGCTGAAAATTACTAAAATGAAAATGGTTTATTCAACCTGTGTGTTAATAGTCTTCTACTAATATCTGTGACAAGGATTAGAAATATTAATAAGTGAATAACATAGGCAGTTAAGTTTTCTGATGGGAAAGAATGACCTGCCCTCCCCATCTTTGGTTAATAAGCTAATAATGAACAGTGCTTGAACACTTGTGGGACTAAAGAAATTGTTGTTTGCATTAATAAGGAAAGCAGAGTCAGATACTTTGCCCCAAGCAGGTAAGGAAGCAGGAATCGGTGGTTTCAAGTATCACTGCATGCACTGCTTGCTGTTCTACTCAAATCTGCAAGCTGCCAGCCACAAGCCTTACATCTATTTTACCTGCAAGAGCTCTTTAAAGGTGCATTGTTTTGTGGGTTAATTTTGTGAGGTGTCCCCCTGCCCCACTCCCCCCAAAAAACACTTGTCCACAGTTTGGGCCTGGTTTGTTCTCTCAGGTTACCAACTTCCAGGCTAATCTGATACACGTTTAAATAAGGAGTACTGTGACAGCAGTACTTCTCTTTGTATAAATAGTTAGTAGCCTGAGATGGATGTGCCCCCTCAGTATATATATGTTTATGCATATCTCTTATAAATCCTAATTAAAACAGAGTGTGGTTGTTCTCACAATGCCTGCCTGCTCTGTGTCCTTGAACTGGCTGGTGATGGTGATAAAACTTAGGATACATTCAGGTAGTTTCTTTTTTAAAACATCAGCTAGATTTTTTTTAATCCATCATACACAAGTTTTAAGTCATATGAGCTTATTAAATAATGCATTAATACAAAAGGCAACTAAGCAAAACCACCAACCACATACATGGCTTTAAGATGTTACCCTAAAGTGAAATTCATGTCATGGACTTATATGTAACAACAAATGACCACTTAGGATACTTGAAATCATTTATTCAAGGTATTTTCATAATTTTGCACTCATAGTATAAGCATACAAAAGAGAACGTGAGAGTGTAAAGAATATAAAGCCAGTGTCTGGGCATTTTAGAGTAAGAGCTCTTAAAAAAGTTACAGATGTTTTACAAGTAAGATTCCTGAAAAATTTGGAAGAGACTAAAACTTCATTAAAAGTATTGCAATACCAAACGACATGCCATGTAGTTAGTAGCCAGCAGTTATATATTAATTAAATGTTTAAGTCCTGTGAACTAAGACAGCACTTTTACATTCAAGTTGAAATAATTCAGCACCATTTTGGCTTCATGGATAAATGAAATGCTGGAAGTTTTAGAAGTGGCCCAGTACTTTTGGCAGCTGAAAATGAAATATAGCTGTTGTTTGAATATATTAACTGTGAATATGAATTCTAAATATAAAAAATATATAGAAAAGGGGTGATTTTTACTTATCAGTTACTATACTGTTAGTATCAGAACAAGTTACTTTTAAAATAAAATATCTTCTGACCAGAAATTCTATATTTTTACACAATTTGCTAAAGATAAATTCTCAGTGCCATGATAATTTTAATAAACTGCAATTCCTCTAGAATCTCAATATTGGAAATGTTTATGAATGTGGTTATTCTATGAGGTTTCAAAGAGAAAAATTTATGTTCATTATTACAAATATTGCCTAGCGATTGAAATTGTGAATAAAATTATGCAAAAATATAGATTTCCTGGATATAGTCAAGATGTAGATTCATATGCTATGGTACTGTTGAGAGACTGAATCCTAGTCTCCGAGGTCAAGATATCTTTAAATCCAGACTGTGGTCTGGATAATTATGAGGCCACTAATATGGCATGTAGAAGACTCACTAAATTACTTTCCTATTTAGCCCATCTTTTTCACAGTCTTTATTAGTTTCAAAGCTAGTACTCAACATTCTTTGTATCTTTTCTGCTATTTCTTTTTTAGAGTTTGGTAAGCTTGGATTGTTTATTTTATTAATGGATAAGTTTTACCACCTAGTCATTTTCTGTGAGTTTTTGTGGTTATTCAGAGAAGCAATCCTTTGAAGTTCAAACATACTAAGTGTTAAATCAATACTTGTGAGTAATTTGGGAGTGTTTAGGGGTGATTGAGGGGGAAGAATGTTTACATAAGGAATAAGTGAGAATCTTTAGCTTCCTAATTGAAACTTTTTTTCAAAATCAACCAAGTAGGACATGTTATATTTAAAAGGCAGACATTTCAGGGATTGGAAATATTTTTAATTATTAGTAACATACATGCATATAACCATTAATTATTAACTTATTTTTAAAATAAAATATGGTCATGAAAAACAATAGTGCTTAAAATAAAATTTTTTAGACATGTACTTATAGTTGTTAAAATGAAATAAAGTGAACCTAAAGGGTAATAATGACATTTTTAATACTTGAGGTTAGGAATAATCCTTTTTATATCCTAATGCCTAGCACGTGAGTGCCTGACATATATTAGGCCCTCAAATGATGATGGATGGACAGATGGAGAGCTCAATGAATGATAAATGTGTCATCTCATATGTATCCAAAGGCCATGGTATTGGCTAGTTTGTAATATAAGGGGTAAGAATCTTGATGAAACTATAGATCTTAAATCTGTAGATGCCATTGTGGCTCAGCATTAATACTGACAGTAGTTTTCTGTTGTTTTTTTAAGCATATTAAAATATTTGAAAAGATTACAATTTAAAAGAAAGGATCATTCTACCATCTTAAAACTAAAAAGAAACTTAAGGCAAAGAGGTACATCAAAGAAGCTATCCCATAGCTCAGATAAGAGCTCAGTGAAAGTTCTGGGTCTCTATTAAGCTGTCTGTATTCTCTGTTGGTAAGTGTGTGCCCTGGCGCATGTGGGTTATGTGGTCCTCTGTTATCCACCCCTCAGTGACTGTCCGTTTCTAGCTCCTCTCCCCCTGCTGGGCACCAAGTGAGTGTGGAACCTTGTTGACTTTACAATTCCATGACATATATATAGTACAGGGATGCCAACTCATTTTTAAAGTTCTACCTCATGTGTCCTTGCACTTGAAGTACCTTCCTTAAGATTTTAATACTTGTTAATGTAGGAAAACTTCTTAAGCACCACTAACTTAAACATGTGATTTGGTTTTTTTCTGTACTTTTTGAATTTAGGAAAAAGAGAAATTCTCCAAATTCTGTTGTAGCACATGGTTTCACAGTTTAAAATAAAATCACAGCTGTCTCATTATGCAGCACAGTCCTTGGTTTTGCAGAATTTTTTCCCTTATTCACCAACTCCTCAAGTGTGTAATGCTGTGTGCTTTCCTAATTTGGATTGTATTTCAGACACATACACAAACATGTATGACTGACTCCTGGCAGACCTAGGATAACCTTCCTGAATCCACACATATTATGTCTTGCATTCTGGATAACTTAACATTTTCTAGCATTCATCTTCTTAAACCTAAACATTAAAAAATGTAGAAAATTTGAAAATTTTTCATTAATTTTTAAAGATGTTTTTCATTAATTTTTAAAAAGTATTTGACAGACAGTTGTGGTTTGAGGGACTTGTTTGTATGATTTTTATTTTATGTCAATAAGGAAAGAATTTTGGCTAATATTTCAATATACTTAATTGTGCATCTTTGGATGTATTACATTTGTTAGCAGAATGACTTCCCTTTGACACAGTTGTGCTATGTCTACCAGTCCCCCAGAATGGTAATTTCAAGGATGCCACTTAAAAGTTCTCTGCCCATAGGAAAACTAGAGAGTAGAGGGAGCATCAACAAATGGCAGAGAGGAGCTTGGCAGCTCAATTACTTAATTTGTTCCGAAACAAAGGCTGACTTAAGTCAGAATGAAATTGTACACTTGACAGAAAGAAAGGAGTGTGTCTACTAATTTAAAACTGTAAACATAAATTTTATATAGGGATGTAACTATCTGAATACATATATTGCCATTTCTCTGCTATATAGTAATACTTCTTGATACCAATGGTAATGTGTTTGTTCCTTTCTCAGCACCAAATGTGTCCATATCTATTTAAACAGTAGGAGCCTCATTTCTAATTGTTCTATGCCAGGACATATATAAGCCAGTTATTATTGTGGTTCACTGAAATTTCAGTACTTTAGAAAATTACCAGTTCAAAGTAATTTTGGCTCATTCATCGAAATATTATTTTCCTTTCTGTATTATAATTTCAAAAAGAGCATAAGAAATTTGGATTTCTTTGAAAGAGCCAAGTGTGCAACTACATAATTGAAACATTATGTTAATTCACAAAATAATGTGAATCATATTAAAATGTTTCCAAATAATGCCAATTTAAATGTTCAAAATCCAGTTATGTACTATTATAAAACAAACAAAAATTCCTTTGTTGAACAGAAAGTTCCCTTTTTCCAAAATACATAAATCCTACTGAAGTTTATCTATTTTTTCCCACTTCAGAACACCAGGCACTGATTTATCCATTGGGAGTCTTGGCTTGCTTTTTAATACCTATATTAAAAAACAAAATAAGAGAAATTATTAACCTGATATTTTATAAATGAACACAGTAGACAAGTTTGAAGTCAACCTTTTAAAAAATTGAGATGTCATTTCCCTCCACCTAAGCAATGGTCACCTTCTGAAATTTACCATTAATACTTGACTTTAGTACTGATTTAAAGATTTTATTTATTTTTAAAGAGAAGAGAATGAAGGGAGAAATACAGAGAGAGAAACATTGATCAGTTGCCCCTTGCACACCCCCAACCAGGGACCTGGTGCCCACAACCCAGGCATGTGCCCTGATCAGGAATCAAACTGGCAACGTCTGGGTTTGTGGGACAATGCCCAACCTACTAAGCCACACCAATCAGGGTGATCTTAATACTGATTTAAAGAAAGTAACTGTGTCAGTAGCAGAAAGTGTATCCCTGATGCCTACAGACTTGATGTCTATCGTTAAAAGAAACATCCACTGAAATAATCAGGAACACAGCAGAACTCATCAGATCCGCAGCCCTGCCTGGGTAAGTTCACTCCATGGAGCAAGTGTGGCGTGTGTGCCAAGGAGCAGGGTCATGGCGGCTTCATTAGTCTGTTCCCAGCATGATTTGGGATATACTGTGAGGCATTAATGGGCAAGACTTTATGGACAGGATCAAAACCAATAAATCAAATATTAGTGTATTTATATTATGATCATAGATCCCTATGTAAAGGAAGTAAGAATATACTTAGTCCAAATCATAAACCATAAACTTCCAAACACTAATTTCTGTGAGAAAAGAATGTATTTGTAGCATCGTGGAGCTGAACTGGGCCACAGAGTCAGCTGGTCCTTATGTCTTATTTACAGGGAGGAGAATGAGGGAGAAGAGAAATAAAGGCACACACTTTCTCACTGGATGGTGTGTTCACACCCAGAGAATACTCTCAGATATTTCCTTAACATGAAAAATATCAGTGAACTGAGAGGTGATATGTCTTTAAGATTAAAAAAAAAAAACAACAATAACATTATGGAGGGAGTCACACGTGCTCTTGCTTACAGAGTCACCAGACTGACCATATAACTTTAGGCAAGGTACACTCCCCATCCAAGAAACTGTAAAGACTGCATCACCTCCAAAATGAAGTTCCAGCTTTTTAACTTGCTCCTCAGTGCTCTTTGATCTGGTCCCAGCTTACTTCTCCATCTTTTTTGCCTAAATCTTAACTCCACGAAACATGTTTCAGCCAAACTAGAACACTTGTTTTTCTAAACACGTCCTGCAATTTCTTCCTGCCACATAGGTGTCAGTGATGTTGATTCCTTCCAGCATGCTCTTGCTTAACTCTCCCCAGTGCAATCCTCCTCAGCCTTCAAGACCCACTTCAAGTGCTGTGCTAAAGCTACTCCTGACCCTCAGCCAGGGAACTCTGAGCCCTAGCAAGGGAGACAAGAAGTGAAAGTCCAAACATAAAAGACAGTCACCCTGAACATGATAGTTTCTTTCTCAAGTCCAGGTTTCTGCACTTCTCCCATTACTTCCTGCTCATAGATAAGTGTGATCTTAGTTTATTACAAACCACTAACTATGGGTCATTAAACTTTTTCATATTTTCATCTGATCAATATTTATTAAAATTCTACCTCAACCACTCTTGCAGTTCAATTACACTCAGTGGCAACTGGTTAAAAAAAAAAGTCAACTCTAGGCTAGAGCAATATAACAATTTTTATTTGCTCAAAATATCTGGCAACATCCAATTCAATAGGTTCTACTGATTAAAGTGAGACAGACTGTGCCCACAGAGCCAGTTTTCTAGACTTAGTCCTAGAGCAAGGTCAGCAGTCGTACCTGGGAGTCACCTAACTTATTATAACAGAGGCCCTGGTCCCACTGCATTTTATCTTACCCCTCTCACCCTTTCAATTCTAAATTCCTAAAGACAAGGTAATTTATCTATTAATCAGGTATTGAAGAAGAGGCTAAATTACACGGTGGCAGACCTACACCTGGCAATGGCTACATGGCAGACAGAAGGCTAGGTCCCAGCCATGATGGGATACAGCAGGAGACAGACATTAAACACAGAGAGTCACAGGCAATTAATTGGAATTATTGTAATAAGGCTACAAGGGAGCATTCCAGGGTCAGGAATCATTTATCTTTGCATTACTCTCTAATATGTAGTGTAGGACCTCAATAAACACACAGTACAAATGTGAGTACCAGTGAATAAATAATGAGTGAAGAAATTAAGGAACTATAAAAATTAAGAGAAATTAATCCATTTATTTTTTATTTATTGTAGCCCGAATTACACTGATGTTCTGGGAGTTTACAGTTATACTATGATCAACTCTATACAATATGGGTCATAAACCCATCCAGGTTTTCTGTATTGTGGGCATGTTCAGAGAATAATTACCTCTTTTTCCCTATGCTGTTCCTTTGCAATTAAAAGCTTCATTTATCTTTAATGCTGTGATGATGCTTGTAGAGCACAGGCATTTATGGGAATAAGGAAAAGGCACCCCTGAGAGGTGAATGCAGCCCAGGCCACACTACATGGCTCTCTGAATGGACCACGGGCTGCTTTAAGCCCATTTCCCTCAGCCAGCAGCCCAGGGGAAAGGTAGAACCTGAACAACTAGGTGTAAGTGGTCTTGGGGCAACCTACAAACTACAGGTTTATGTGCAGCCAAACTGATCCCTGGTTTGTATATTAGGGAGAAACTGCTATTAAGTATGACTTGCTAGTGTACCTGTTATGCATGCTGCAGAGGCATTGGTGCCTCTCTAACATCAAACCAAGCTGACTGTGGTCAGCATCACTGCAATGGCGTTCCCATTGTTTGGAAGGTGTGATTCCCAGGGGGCAGATGTAGTTGAAACATATAACCCAGCAATACTAGAGCAGGCAGTGCTGAGGGATCGAGGTGGAACAGACAGACAAGCAGGAAACCTACTCAGCTTTCTTTTAAGTATTTACATCAACACACCTCCCCTGTGAATATTAATGTGCTGGGATTCTATCTAAGATTTCATTCACAGAAGGGTTTCAGGACTAGGAAAATTATGAAGGCACCTCCACACATTCCCTCCTTTTGAGGAATATTTCCCTAGTACTTGTTCTAGAACTTGAATATGTGAACTCCTGATTTCTACAGAACAGGCAGTCTGATCTCTTAAGTTGCATACTTTAAGGCAGTGATTTTTCAGAATGGACTCTGAAGAACTCTAGGAATTTCTTCAGCGCTCCTTCGTGGACTGTTTGGCAGGAGCAGGAAACCCACTGTTTGGGCTCCCACAGGGTCACCCACACTGCAGATTGCATATTTTACATATTCGGCCTCCACACGGGCTTTTTGGGTAAACAATGTGTTCTGTGTGTATGTCTTGTCTTCAAAACTAAGCTTTAGGATGCTAAAAACCTGAATATATTTCCTTTCCTTAGCAGTACCAAAAACAGATCAGCTCTAAGTGTACAGTAGTGCAGACTCTACCATTCTCTTCCTTTGGCCTAGTTTACAGTAGCAGCCTACTGTAAAGAGGCTACAGTAGTAGTAGAAACAGACACATCCTGTGTAATGCCTGTTGATGAACTGAACACTCTGTGAAAGAGGATCACTTAGCTAGGCAAATAAGACTCACGGTGAAATCGTGCAGCCTGAGGCATACGCATGATGTCCCGTGTAGCGAATGTCACAGCGCACGACGTTGTTGGAATAGTCCGACTCAGGCACCAGGTAGCTGGGGTTCACACTGACCTAGGCAATGCAAACATCATCCACATTTCAGACTCCATCAGCAGTGTTTACTAGTTAGTGTCTTCCTGTTTTCACAGGGCTAGCACGCTTCAACTCTCTGTGCGGGGAGGGTCAAGTTAGGCAAGTGCTTACACTTTGGAAAGGTGTTGGAGAGAGGCTGTATATTTTTTCCTCAAGTTCTTTAAAATAAGAATTTTTTTCATACATCTAGGATCATTTAGAAATCATTCTAGAGGATATATAATTGCTTTCAGGTCCATGATTATTTAACATTTGAGCCAGGAGGAAGAGTTCTGTTGAATTGCAATCAAAATAAATTACAGGTACATATTTTCAAAGGTTTCTACCTTGAGAATGTAGTTTCCAGGTGCTACATCTGTAATATCAATCCACTGGCAGTCTATGTCTGCATTATATGTATCATAACAGCCAGGACTCAACCCCTAGAACAAATAAAATAAAAAGTTTAAAAAGATGGTATATTGTTAGAGCATGCTAAAGAATATGCTTATTATTTGCAAATTAAATTTTAAGTTAGTACTTACAAGAGTCTGACAAAAAACTATACTTATATTGCATCTCCCTTGAGAAGTATATGTTACTCAGCCTTATAGCACCTCCAGCTAAAAAAAATACAGGACTAATATAAGTAGTAGTACATCTAGCCTTTTAAGTGTCACAAATCAATCTCAAGGGACAAAGTAGGCCTCCACAAAAATTCTAAACTATCGGCAGTTCAAGAATAAAGGCCACGTAATAATCAATTCAGCTCAAGTGTCATCTTCTCAGTACATACAACCTTCCCCAACTTCCCCTTTGGGAAATTACCTTCCTGTACTCTGCCCGTGATACTTTTTTGTGGGTATAGCTTTTATAGCATTATCCTTTTCTTCTCTGAAGTGTCATCATACTATATATCTAACTATGTAGCTAACAGTAACTATGTGTTATGTGCCAGGAATAACTTTAAACATGTCACATACCTGAATTCAGTTCCCAGAACTACATGAGGTAGGTGCTGTTATTATCCTTGTTTTACAAATAAGGGGTCTGAGGCACCGTGGGGTCAAATAACTCATGGAAGGTTACACAGCTTGTAAGTGGCTGAGTTGCTTTTGCTCTTAGGCAATCAGATCGAGTCTCTGATCTCAACCACAACACTGTACTCTCTCTCATATTGTCACTGAATTATTTTGTTGAATTAAAGGGATGAATGTATGTCTCAGTGTTTGAATCCCACCTCACTGCACTTGCTGTTCACTTCACTAAGTAAATGATTGACTCCTACAGGCTGAGAGAAGAATACCAATGAGATACGGTCCTTGCTCTCAGGAAAGCTTTAGTCTGGAGAAGTTTGTTCAAATTGAAGCCTGTAGATATCTTCTCAATTCCATTAGTTCTACTGTTGTATTTTCATTCTAATGGTAATCTCAAGTAAATTAAAAAGCATATGCTAGAATCATTTTAACTCAATACTGCCATTTAATTTCAGCATCCAAGTCTGCTTTGGTGCTTAAGATGGCAAAATCATCTAAGCATGTTCTAAACAATGCTGGTTTGGGTATAACCTGATTCAGGGAGAAACAGGGAGAATCGTGCTCTCAGATGGCACACAATATGGCACACACAGGTCACACCCAAACTACCTGTGCCACAGCATTGGGAACCATATCCCCACCTTCCTTTGTACCAACACATTAACACTATGTTGAGGAGTAAATATGTAATGAATAATTTTTGGCTTCTGATTTCAGCATGTAATTCTGATTCTGGCACATAATAAATAATCACTGTTAGGTCATTGTTACTGTTGCTACCACTACTACTAAATTTGTGGCATTATAAGGATTCACTGGATTAGACGCCTCTTTAATACAGGTTTAAATAGCACCACAGTGTGGGTCTTACTTTTAAGTGAGCAAAAGGGCTTCAAAGCATGCTGAAATTGGCACCCCAGGATAATTCAGCAGCAGAAGTTATGTATGAGCTTTGATTATCTGCACTAGCAGACACAAATGGGTGTTTTTTAAGGCCATTAAGCAAACAGGTATTTCATATATTCAGAGTCATACTTTAAAAACAGATTAAATGTAGAACCTACCTGAGGCTGTCAAAATTAGCTATTTAGTTTTAGCAAAACACAACCATTTGTTACATTAAATTAATAAGGTTAATATGACAGTTTCTAGTTTTGTGTATGTTTAATATGTAAATTTGTTACCTAAGAGTTGTATGAAGGTATAAATATAAGTTATATCTAGTTTCATATTTAGATACATTTAATCATTGTAAAACAACTAATCTGAGCATTGGGTCTCTGGGCGAATTACTGTTTTCTTTGAATGAAGCAGCAAAGTGAAAAACACAAAAACACCAATCACTTGTAATATAAGGCCTGGTGAAAAATAGTTAAATAGGACATAAATGGAGGGTGATAAACAGGAAAGCTACCATATAAAATGAAGTGGGGTTACTCTGAGAATCAGGGACTAGAAGTGCTGTAGATACCTGTAGCCCTGTGTTCAAGAGCGTCAGCAGTGAGCTGTCCAGAATACCTCGTTCTGAATGACGGGCATAAACTCCCAGTCCCTGCACAGACAGTGGCTGTGGGACTTGGAGATCACTGAGTGAAAAAGGGAATTTCTATATGCACATGTGTGTCCTATGTGGGTAGATTACATCTTCTTTTACCTGAAGAGTAAGTGCTGCTTCAGGGCACTTATTGAACCTTCCCCCCTCCTTCCAATTATGCTGATGTTCTAAGCCCAGAGAAAGAAGCAACAGTGAACATTTAGGTCACCAAAAAGCTTCCTGCTACAGCCCTGCAATCTGCTTCCCCAGGTGCCAGCAGCTGATTCCCGTGTGCCCTGAGTTATATACATTCACTACTCCTTGCCAGGAGTTTGGCTGGAGTAAAATTATAATGTCCTTTTACAAATTAGAGTTTCTTATGGAAATACTGGCATGGTTTTTAACTGACACAGATTTTCCCATTATAAGACATGCAAACTGCTTAGTTCAGCATGATTTTTAAAAATCCATCCCAGGAACATCTGACATCAATTATACTGTAGGTTTAAATATATATGCATGAAGAAAGAAATTGTATCCTTCTGCTTTTATTTGCATGATTAAAAGAGACAGTTTTCAAAAGTGCTTTTTTAGAAACCTATTTTCTCTCCTTCTGCAACCACCAGCACTGGGTATCCTATTTTTTAGCTTAATAGGTGGAGGAAGGAATTGTTTTGCAGGTGAGAAAACACGTATCTTTTCTATAGTTATTTACTAAGCCTGCTAAGGAATACAGAGTAAGTGCAGATATTGGAAACCATTCAGATTTTTTCAGAGGGTAAAGGGTTGCTTTCGATTGTGGAACACAATGAGCATGCAGGGACCTTCTGTGATGATGAAATACTTTCAAAATAACTTGGATCATCAAGCCATCACTTGTCCTTTCCCAGTTATTTTCCATCTTGACTAGATGACCCCCAAAATGAAACAGTTTGTAAATGACAGGGAGGAGGAAAGAAAATGAAGACCACTCTGTTTTCTCTCCGAAGCCTGAAGATTCCTGATCCGATGATGCCAACCTACCTGTGTGTGTGCAGTGCATGCAAATCGCCTGTGGTAGCCGTAGTCACAGGACGTGTCCTCAAGACAGAAACTTGCTTTGTGGCCTTCGGCCACTCTCCTCTGGGTGTTCGCATCGAGCAGGTCATAGTGGCTGAACTCATCCATGCTGTGGTAATGTCTGACATTCCACACAACACAGAGAGAGTGGTCAGTGACACATAGAGGAAAAGTGGTGAGAATTGGAGATGACTCTGGCTGCCTCACACATTTGTTTGCACATTAAGATTGCAATGAAGTTTATCTTAAAGCCAGATTCATGCTAGATTCCCTCCCATCCCAACCCAGGGTCAGAAATCTAGAAATCTATCAAAATGCTAAGCTTCTAACTTTGCAACTTGGTGGGGGTAGACTTATTTGGAGTATCTTGCTTTTCTATTATACCCTGTTTTACCTTCAAATATTAAATAGAAATAGACAATAAATTATCTGTGTTTACGTGACACTTGCCATATGTTCTCTAGTATATTTGTCTTGGCTGCCACTACTCATGTTTCATTCCAAAAAAGAAGAGTACATGACTATTGGAAGGTTTCTGTGAGATTTTTAAACACTGAGTTTTTATAGATTTAAAATCACCACTAAAATGCAAAAGAGAAAAAATGGCATGTTTTTTTCACCATTATTGTTAAACTAGTATAAACTTTTATTTGGAAATAAAATAATTCTGTTCTATTAGCAGATTAAGCACTCATTATCTACTGCTATCATTTCATTAAAGAGCAGGTGCTGAGTTTCCTCTTCGCACATTAAGGAGAGTAGAGGAAATGGCTCGAACTGCAGGAAGTTCAAGGGCACACATCAGGATAGCCTGGCAATAAACACCTGGGCAATTTATCAAGGTGAATTATAGAATAACCTAATGTGAAAATCTTTTAAAGTTAGGACAGAACAAGCAGTTGTGCTGATTCAGGTCTTTTAAAAGACGGAGAAAGGTCCCTCTCAGCTCATGGAGTAGATTCAGGGGTGTCCAACCTTTTGGTGTCTCGGGGCCACACTGGAAGAAGAGTTGTCTTTGGCCACAAATTAATTACACAAACACTAATGAAAACTGACAAGCAAAAATAAGGTTTTAAGAAAATTTACAATTTTGTGTTGGGCTGCATTCATGGCCATTGTGGGCTGCATGTGGCCTGCAGTCCGTGGGTTGGACACCCCTGGACACCTTTCCTTGAGAAGGTGTTTGAACACTTTTGATAACAATTTATGGTCTTTATTATATGCTGTCAGAGGCAAACCAACTATAGGTTGATATCTTGGCTGCAGAGGGCTTTTTTTAAAAAATCAATCTCACTTGCAATATATTGGAGTAAGATTCCAGCAAAGCCAACTGCTGTATACTACCAACAGTTTTAATAAGCTGGATTTAGAGTTTCTGATTTGAAAGATAACAGGATGTAGTAATTGACATTTTATCTTAAAGACACACTCTACTGATTATGTCAATACACAGAAAAATTTTAGATGTAAATAACAGCAGTTTTCTCCCTTTGGTTTGTATAAGAATCATTTGAAAAATGATAAAGCAACTCAAAAGTACCCAGGAGGCCCACCTACTTACTGGTGACAGCTGTGCCATTCCCAGGAATATCTTGGTCGGCTTGGTAAGAAATCTGATGTCCCTTGATTTTTCACTCTTTGGGGAAATCTTAGCAGCACCCTGTGATCATAATCTCTGACATCCACCCTGTATGCTGAGCTGTCATTTTGAAAAAAGAAACATTTTCACAAACTATTAACTAAAGACAAAGGAACAAACAAAACCTTTTTCAATATATAATGCTGACTCCCTTACTCCCCATACTAGACTATCAATCCAAGAGACCAGGGCATTTTGCTTATTTTAACTATTGCTGAATCTCCAGATCCTAGAACAATGCCTGGCAAGTAGAGCTCTGTGAATATGTGTTGAATGAATGGGTAAAATGAATGACAACTATGGAAATCCTCAGTTTAAATGTAAAAAGATAATAGAATTAGCATTAAAATTTACGTGTGAGCCTTGGCTAGTGTGGCTCAGTGGACAGAGTGCCAGCCTGTGGACCAAAGGGTTGCCAGTTGGATTCCCAGTCAGGGCACATGCCTGGGTTGTGGGCCAGGTCCCCAGTAGGGGGCTCACAAGAGGCAACCACACCTTGATGTTTCTTTCCCTCTCTTTCTCCCTCCCTTCCTCTCTCTAAAAATAAATAAAATCCTAAAAAAGTGCTCACAGACTATAAAAAAATTTACATATGATAATGTAAACTTTATAATCATTTCAAGTTTAACCACATGAATGAGTGAAAAACTGAGGTGGTAATTAGCCCAGATTTTTTAAAAATCATATTTACTTGTTAATAATTTTTAATCTAACAATATATTTCTTGAATAATTAACTAAGATGTAAAGTGGGGAAATAATTCTAAAACAATACACCCACATTAGATAGATAATTTTTTAACTTCACCATCTTCAAAACAACAGCATTACTATAATAATATTGGGAGTGCAATGGTGTGAGTGATGCAAGACTCAAGAATGAAAATGATGAGCTTCAATTTCTTCTCTTCCTTTAGCCTAAGAGTTATAAAGGGTCAAAGCGAGAGAAATATACAAATAAATATTACTATGTTTCTTATAATATATTTTGTATGAAAATACATTCAAATACTATTGATGACCTTATTTCACACTGTAAAAAATTGTTGAGACCTATCAAAACGTTCTTTTGCTCCCTCTGCTGGCTTCCCAACAGTATACTCAGGGAAATCCACTCCCAGAATTGCTATGATTTTATTTTAGGACTGATGGAAAAAAAAAAGAAAGAAAGAAAGAAAGAAAGCTTTCCACAATGGCAAATTAGCTCCCCAGTCTTTTGAGGGAATATTGACAAACTCTTCAATTACAAAAATTTTTCACGTTTTGTACAGTTTAATAGAAAGTTATAGGAAACAGCTAGCTCCAAAGCTGAAGGATCTTGAATTTTGTGCTTCAGTTTGAAAGAGAACCCACAGAGAACCCATGGAAATCTTCAAAATTTTAACTCTCCATCCAGGTCAGCATGCCCAGGAGATGAAGTCCTACTTCCCCGCTCTTGTACCACTTCCTAACTCTTGTCCGCAGGAACAAGAGTGGTTAGAATCAGGCACCTGATCTGCCCCTGGAACCCAGACCAGGCAGCCAGGCCGCTGATATCCCAGCTAGTACCTGGCCAAGCAGTTTTCCTCCGCAGCGCATCTCAGGTTGTACATGGACACCTTTTGCACGTATGTGGAAGCCTGGATATAGTAGGGATCTGGCACCAGGTCCGGGAGACCTAAAGGAGAGCAGACGATGGGCACAGCAGTGAGACAACCCTGCGCCCCCTACCCTGGCAACTGGTATCTCCCTACCCCTTGCTCCTCATCCTTTGCCCAACCGGACTGCTTGTCTGTGAGTGGCTGCGGGTAGCAGGAGAAAGGGGATGCCCCAGGCTACAAAGCAATGTAGAAAGGAAGCAGGAGGGGCCAGGCGCGTGGTTTGCACCAGATTCCAGGGCTGCTTGTGCAGGCGCAGGGGGAGGGATCAGATCTGCGGGAACTAGGGCCTGCCGCGCCCTGGCAGCCACGTCGGGGGGCCACCAGCTACTTAGGGGAAGGGGTGCGCGGTGGTTTCCACGACTTGTGCTTACCGTACTGGAAGTAGCCTGTGCCATACCCTGGCCGGTACCTGCTCCCAGGCCGGGGCCTTTCGTACGTGTCGTAGTAGTTGTAATAGGGGTTGTCGTCGGAGTACTTGTAAGGGTTGTATGGGTCATCACCCACCATGCCGTCCACTCGACTAGGGGGCCTCAAGTTACTGAGCGCTGGGCGCTCTGCTGGTGCAGTCCGGTTCCTCGTGCGCAAGGCACCAGCGTCGTGGGTCCCGGACGACGAGTAGCCAGCTTGGAACCAGTGGCGGGCTGCGGGCCCGGGGAGGCCAGCAGCGGCTCCCGAAGAGGCAGCTGTCCGCGCCCGAGTCGCTGCGGTGCGGTTGTTGCGGAGCAGCAGGATCGGCGTGCGCGGCTGCAAGGCAGCCGCGTTGGCGGCGCCCTGGGCGGTGGCGCCTGGGTCCCGTCGGCGCTGCGGCTGGTATTGTGAGCCCTGGCTCAGCAAACTGAACACCTGCCCGTTGTTCTCCCATTGGATCCTCTGGCTCCAGGCTCCAGGAGCCGCCGGAGGTTCGCGAGGGGGCTGCTGCTGGCCCGTGGCCGGCGGGGCGCAACGCACGAGCGAGCAGAGCTGCAGGGGCCCCAGCAGGAGCGTGGTCCAGGCGAAGTGCATCATTCCCTTTCCCCGATAGCCCCCACTCCAGGAGGACGTAGCTCAGAGAAAAGAAAAACGGGGTTCAAGTCACGTGAGAGAGGGAGAAATCTTCAACCCGGCAGGCAGTGGAGCGCGAGTATCTTAGCCCCACCAAGCAGTGCCGAGGGTGGGCTGCAGACCCTCCTCCAGTCAAGGCAGCTGCTGGGACGTGGCACCCGCCTCTTTCCTCTTTCCCAGTGCTCTGGAAGGCGATGGGGAGCGGTGCGGGCGGCTCTGCGAGCCGGCAGTGTCTGGAGTGAAGCAAGGAGGAGAGATTTTAAACTTTCTGGCACGTTTGCAAAGTTACACAAGCCCCGTTCGGCCGGCCACCCCTCCGCTATTTGTTCACGTAATACGATTGGAAACGTGCAAGGGGGACAGCTCCTCGCCTCTGCCCCTCCCTCCGCTCTCAGTCCTGCCCTCCTCCCCCCAGACACGTTGCACAGGGAGCGTTAAGGGGAAAGAACAAAAACGGAACACACATCCTGAGACACACTAGGCTTAATCTGGGGCGAACATGCAGGAATTTCAAAAGACTCAGACAAGCGAAGGCAGCCAGGCCATGGGGCGACGCCAAAATATGCATGAAGAAAAATGCTATTAGGTCACCAGCCCCAGAGAGGCGGGAAGTCAGGAGGTGGGGAGGGTGCCGGGGACGAGAGTTGGAGGCAGAGGCGAAAGATTGTGACTAACTTATCCATAAGGAGTTAACCAGACAAATTTCCCAATGCATACTCCCTCGTTTTTGTGGGAAGTGCTCTCAGCAAATAAACCCAGGATCTCAAATTTTGTTTTTTGTGTGTGTGCAGGTAATATGAGAAATGGGTTACAAATTTGTTTCCTACAGTGAATATTTTAATAACCAAAAGTGAAATTTTGCAGGGAACAAATTCCAGCTATAACACTGAAAGCGATGAATAAACCTGTCTCTTTTTCCGAATGCTGGCCTGATTTGTACTTTGTGTGGAAGTGAAGAACCATTTTTCAAGTGTCTACCAGGAAGTTTCATTGAAGGGGGGCTAGAGCAAGTCTGGCTACTCCAGCACTCGGAAGACAGCTAGCTAGCTTCAAATCAGCATTTTATGCGACTTTGTTTTTCTCTTTCTACATCTAATAATTAGATTTGACTTTGGATTTTAAAAACTTAAGTCACCGTTTGTTAAATGTTGAAAAGTCATGATGTTTGATTGATTCCACATTAAACAAAGAGGTTGCTAAAGAAACTAAACCGCCTTGGGATTCAGCTTTCGGTAAAGAGGAGGGAGTAGGAGTGGCCAGAGGAGAACTGGTAGGAGGGTAAGGTGGGAGGTGGGTAATGCTGACTGGAAAGAGATGCTTAATGGTCCAGTTATTCACATACCACGCAGGGTTTCTGCTGTGCTGAAAACACTTAAAAGAAAAATTGCTGCTAAAAAGACTGATTTAAAACTACAACTCAAAACCAGATTTTACTAACCTTTTTTTTTATTTTGGTGTTATCATTGAGCTGTTGTCTAAGCGTACTTCAATAGTTAGCTATCTCCGCCAGTCCCCGACTCTCCACATTTAATGACCACATTTTGGTGGGGTCGTGGACATCTGCTGATTGGACTGTTCACCATCCATTTTCCACTTTTTCTTGTCAGAACGCCTGTATTTTCCTTTGGGAAACTTCCCCTACCCTGCTGAACTGTGGGACTGACTGCGCATTCGTGGGACTTCCCCCACTTCCGGTAGTGGTCGTGAGATCCAAGTCTGGCTCATCAAACTGTCTCCCTAGGATTTGAATCTTGAACAGAAGGACATCGAGAGTCAAAAATGTTGGAGTCCACTCTTCGCACTACTGAAGAAAGTGTCTGTGGGCTCTTGCTACACAGATTCCCCTTGAGCTGAGTTACCACAGTATCTTCCCAACACCTGGTTCCTAAGCTTTGCCTTCCATTTTTCCAATGTGGTCCTTTGTGGCATAACATGGTCAGAGTCAATTTCTGGCGTTTGCCAACTAAAGATCCCTGACTCACACTGAGGGAGCTGTGGCTGCCCCTCTCACCTAATCAGATCACACAATTTTTAGTCCAAGCTGATGGGTTTGGCTCTTTTTGTGTCAAATTAGATTTTCTCTGCCCATGACCACATAGTGTCTTTGGTCGCAAAGAGGTATGAGTGGAAGCTTGCCAATGTATTGGCAAATCTATTGCTTATAAGATGGAGATAAAAATTCAAGTGCAAATTCCACTGATTGCAGGTCAACTGTGTCATTCCTTTCTGTGAAGGTCAGAGACATCTCCAGCTGTCATTTTACAGACTTGATGCCATGGTTAAAATTAAACTACTCAATTTCTTCAAACCCACAAAGAGAAGATAGAGTGAAAAGAAGCAGGTGTATATAATTTGAATGGATAGACCAAATTATAGGAGAGGCAGGAAGGGGTAGAGTATAATTATCTCTCAGCTGAAAAAGATTCTGCATGCACCCATCAACAGTGTATTCCCCAGAAGAGAGAAGCCTGTAACTGCTGGTGTTTGACCACATGTTCCTGAGGGAAGACCTCTGCTATGGAGGTCACATTGTCAGAGTAGCTGACCACAGCAGCTCCTAATGGGAGAGAAGAAAGTTTATGCTGGATCTCAGATAAAATAGCCTTGTTTCCAATCCTGGTGCTTGCACAAAAAAGCTGTGTATCTTTGGAAAGCTGAGATACTTTCCCTGGCTCTTAGTTATCTGTAGGAATCAAGAATTAATCCAAATCTTTTCTAAAGTAGTTTTCCTAGCTTTAAAATCTCTGATTTTTGTGAATGTCCAAGTCATTCCAACTACTTTCAATTCATTCACTATACTGTTTCATTATGATTACTGATATTTAATTAAGTAACTACTTCGGTTGGACTTTAAAACATTGGATGTATTTTATGTGTGAGCTAGAGTTTACAGACAGTCATTTTCCCCTTTTACTTATTTCCCATCAGTGAAATTTAATGTACATTTATTTATTTTAAAATACTTCTGAAACACATTTATGCTCTGAAGTGTAGTAACCACAGTGGTGACTGGCACACGTGAGCACTCAATGAATGTCCGTGGATTCACTCATTTGCACAATTTAGAGCTGAATGAGATTCACCAATTTTTTTAATTTGCCCCAACAGACAGAAGAATGTCTTATCAGAGTATAAATAACTAATGAGAACAGTAGTATTGTGCAATATTTATTTTCTTTTAAACACACTACTTTGGGGTGAACACATTGCCATTTGCGACACATTCTAAAGAGACACTCAGTTCATTTTCTCTCTTCCACTGTCTCTAATTTCTGGCTTAAGACTCAGCCAGCGGAAAACAAACATGTGGCTACCACATTGGGGACAATTGAAAGTGTTTGTGAGTCCTATGGGAGACAGTCTAGACACACATTGTACTCTCTGTTCAGTGACAAAACTATTATTCACACTATTGGAGAAACCACAATTGCTTCTACTCAGCACTGAAACAGTAATAAGAATAACTGCAGCTATGTCAAGAAATCTTTAGCTTTGGTAGTTACTGTTTTTATATATATAGATTCTAGGCTATTGCTGTTAAGGACATAAACTGCAATGTATTGCCCATTGACCAAAAAAGGGAAAGTTGTCATAGGGCTATGTTTCTGATACTTAACTGTATTTATATTAGGAGGATAATTCATATAAACGGACATTAGTGTTACACAGAAAGCCCAAACCATATAGTAGTGTTACCGAATGACCAGTCCCAGAACACAAATGCCATAGTCAAAGGACTCTGGGTTGAACATAAATTCTTTTGTTTGGGGCTCAGAAAGCTCACACAAATCATGTTCTTTGATATAGACAAATGCTCATATGTGCTTCAATGCCATGTAGTTCTATGACATCGCAGAGAGTAAAGTAAAGTAAGTGCGAATTTAGGGGTCTGTAAGGGGGAGATTGAGAAAAAGAGGTAGTTATGACATCCACCAAAAGGGGGGTGCATTGAGGGGTGCATGAGGACAGGGGCACATTTTTCAAAGGTAATTCAGAAATGGTAACAGTGAAATAAAGAACCAGACATCTTTTTACTTGGAGTAAAATGAAGGAGAGGAGTAAGTTCGTCTGGAAGTTAACAGTGTGCTTGTGTTCCCTTCTCCTCATTCTTGTCTTCTGCCACATCCCACTTCCAGGTGCTCACCCAAATATAAAAAGTAGACAGTTGGTACACACTTGTCTGTGTGTCAGGACTGAACTGGAAAAAAAAATCTGTAAACAGACTGGGTAGGAGAATTCCAGAAATAATGAATTTTAAATATATCTTGTTTGGTTACCTATCCCCTTGAATGGAAAAGTGGAACATAAGCTAGAGAATGGAAAAGTATTTCATTCTGGTGCCTTTAATGCATATTCATATGTGATTAAGTAAATAATGTTAGTAACTATAACAAAATGGTAAAAATGAGAAGAGGTAAAGTTATGATAGAAGAATGGGTCTTTGAAATTCAGTGAATTGGTGTTCAAACTAACTTGGTTATATTGACCACAAAAATAAGGGATCAGCCAGTTGGCAGAACTGCCTACAAGTGAAGTCCAAGTGATGTGATTGGGCCTGACAGACTACCCAATGACAATGAGGCAACTGTTCTTCATGTTATGGGGTGTACTAGGTCATTTCTGTTTTTAATTGATAGAATACAGTATGCTCTGGGCCTACATCCTAGCCTATTTGCTACTCCTCAACTCTTCCTGGATTTGGCTTCACTGTCCTAGAATGCTAAAAGCTATTTAATTCAATATAACCTGGGCACGATCCTCTGACATGGTAGGATAGAAGTGAGGAGGACATTTTTGCTTAACTAAGGCGTCTTTCTTATCTGCCTGTCACATGCAATAATTGCAGTCTCCCGGAGTCATCCTTCTGCTTTAACTTCACCCAAGGTTCACTGCATTCTTTGGGGGCCCAGGAGGAGCAAAAAACCAAGTTACTAACATACTAATGCAGATTATGTGCAGTTTTTTTTCTTCCCTATAGAAATGGTGATTTTCAGAACATTTGATGGTGTTATGTATGTTTGAAATAGAGACAAAGTGGAAGGAAGATTTTGATGGGGCTGTGAAGAAGAAAACCTGTTTGTTCCCTAATTGCATTTAAGGTCAGTTTTGAGAATCATACTTTCTCTTTGTGTTATTATTAGAATACTACTCATTTTATCATCTTACTACCTCTCAGTTGTACAACACCCTAAACAAAGAATCAAATAATTTTATATAATGGATTTTAAAGCTAGGAGTCTTTTAAAGCAGGTCCAATTAGATATAAGTACACTGTTAGATATTAGATATTAGTACACTGTTATAAACATTGTTTTTTTTTGGCTCCTAACTATTTTCTTACACTTCAACTATTTCATGGGTCTCTTTAGAGGGTGGAAAATAAAAAGGAAAAAGCTGAAGCTCATAGTCTATGGGATTTGTGTCTCCTACGAGCCACACAATGGCACTGGACAGGGTGACTGTTATTCTGGGCTCCTTGCAAGAACAAGAACGAGTGTCGTAAGAACAAGACGTCAAGAACAAGAAAGAGTGTCACATCTTTTACAATTTACTCTCAATGGCCTATGTATGTTTATGCAAGTAATACAAGGGCCTGTATTACAATGGCATATGGAAAATATTAAATAATGTCTTTGAGTGCAAATATTAAATAAATATCAAGTGAAAATGAATGTATACAACCTCAGAATGATTTTTGGCTAAAGAATCCAAGTAATTGAGTTGAATACACAGGGCCTTTTCAAACTTGCGAATTGGATCCCTAGTCGAAGAAGGAAATAATAAGGAAATATGCAATAATAAGAAAAATAAGCAATTAATCAGCCTCCCCAACAGGACAATACCTGTCCTGTCATTAATAACAAGCATTTGTATTTCTTGTCATTTACTGTGCTCCTGGCATGATGCAAAGTGCTTAGATTATTACCTCAGTTTGTCCTCACAACAACCCTATGAGGTGCTTATTAATATTTTCATTTTATGGATAAGAAATAGAAGCTTAGAAAGATTAAGCAATATGCTTACTTAAAAATTGGCAAAGTTAGATCATGAACCCAGGTCTATCCTGTTATAAACACCATATTAAACTCTTGCCATGTGAAGGAGAAAGAAAGTATTTGTTTCTTTGATTTTCTTTCTTTGTTTTAATTATTGGAATAATTATTAAACAAGTGACTCATTAAAGGTAACATGACAAGGAGATTGTTGCCAGGCCAATTAAGTGAATAGACTGGTAATGTCTATTCACTTAGTACCCATGGGTAAATGGCTTTGGGATAAGTGTGAAATATGAATTAACTGGATGGTGACAAGTAGTAGAAAGAACGTGGATGATGGAGTCAGTCCTTGGGTAACTGCTACTATATACTATCAGGGTGTTCTTGGACAAATTACTCAGTTATTCTGAGACTTAAATTTCTCAAGCAACAATGAAGATAATAAGACCTATTGCATGGTTGTGAGAATGAAATGTTTGTAAGCATATGGCAGAGAATGGAGCTTATATTAGGCAGTAAAGGACAAGGTAACTGCTGTTACTGCTTGTTACTTGGACATTAGAATTTATAAGTCAACAAGGACTATTTGTGATAGACAAGTATGCAGAATGGCATTTTCTATTGCATAATAATGGAAAAGGGGGAATTTTCTACTTTATCTTTTTAATCCTCACCTGAGGATATGTTTATCGATTTTGGAAAGAGAAGAATGGAGAGAGAGACAGAGAGAAACATCGAATCAGTTGCCTCCCACACATGCCCCAATCAGCAGGGATTGAATCCACGATGTTTGGTGTGCAGAGGGCATTCCAATCAACCAGGCCGTCTGGTCAGGGCAACATTTTTTACTCTTTACATGTTCAGAAAAATATAGAACGCTTCACGAATTTGCATGTCATCCTCTCACAGGAACCATGCTAATCTTCTCTGTACCATTCCAATTTTAGTACATGTGCTGTCAAAGCAAGCACATTTTTTACTTTTTAGATGCCTGTTATGTTACTTTGAGGTAGGAAGATCTTTTGAAAAAATAAGTCAATTTTCTTGGGATATAATTTATATAAAAGTCATCCTTATATGCACAACTTTCAAGTGTATGGTGTGACATTTTAACAAGTGTGTATGTTTTTGTAAATGCCACCATAATCAAGATATAGAATAATTCCATCTTTCCATGAAGTTCCCATGAACCCTCTCCACCAACCCTGCCCCAGGAAACCACAGTTCCGATTTTTTTTTTTTGGTCCTGTGAATTAGTTTTGTCTACTCTAGAACTTCAAACAGCAGATAACCATTTGTGTCTCTTCTTTTGCCCAGCATGTCTATGAGATTCATCCATTCTGTCACTCAATAAGCAGTTTATTTGTTTTTCTTAATAAGTAGTATTTTATGCTATGAACATACGTTTATTTGTTTGTTTTCCAGATTGAGGCGGTTGCGCATTATCTACAAATTTTTCCATGGATGTATTTTTTTTTTTTTTGGTAAATACTTAGAGGAATAATTGTTGTACATTTAAAAGAGGTACATATTTAATTTTATGAAAAACTTACAAATATTTTTATAAGAACTTGTATTATTTTACATTTATATCAACCACCTTAGAGCATTCCCATTGTTCCATATCCTTGCCAACTACTGGGTATGAAGTGGTATCTTATTATTGTTTAATCTGTAGTTCCTTAATTACTAATGATTTGAGCTTTTCTTTCATGTGCTATACATTTGTGAAATATATTTCAATCTTTTGCCCAATGTTTACCCAATGTTTAGTTTTTTATACTCTTATTGAGGTGTAGGAGTTTGCTATATATTCCAGATACAAGATTTATATGAGACAATAAATATTTTCTCTGTGGGCTTACCTTTTTACTTTTTTAATGATGACTTGTGAAAAACAGGCATTTGTAATTTTGATAAAATCCACTTTATCAATTTGTCTTCCTTTATGGTTAGTATTTATTATATCCTGTCTAAAAAATCATTTTTCTAGCTCTAGTCCACAATATTTTCTTCCATGTTTTCTGCTAGAAGTTTTATAATTTCAGCTTTATGTTTAGGTCTATGGTCCATTTAAAAATACTTTTGGGTGTAGTATAAGGTAGGAGTTGAGGGTGATTTGTTTCCACAGGGATGTCTAGTTGATTTAGCACTATTTGTTGAAAAGAATTTTTTCCAGTATGCCCCTCGGCACCTTTGTCAAAAATCGATTCACCTTCTATGTGCTGGTCTGTTTCTGGACTTCCTGTCCTTTTCCACAGATCTGCTTACTTATGCCAATACCATTGTCTTAATTGTACGTTTATAGTAAGTCTTGAAATCAAGTAATGAAAGTCCTCTCATTTTATAATATTTTACAAGAGTATTTGACTGTTTTAGATTCTTTGCATTTTCATATGCAATTTAGAAACAGCCTGTCAATTTCTACCTAAAAAACTGCTGGGATTCTAATTGAGGCTGCATTGAAGCTATATATCAATTTGAAGATAATTTATATTTTAACAACATGAATCTTCCAATCCATAAACATGGTATATGACTTCACTTATTCAGGTCTTCATTAATTTCTTTCAGCAATATTTTGTAATGTCCAGTGCAGAAACTTTTCATCTCTTTGCACATACATGTCTACTGCGCTTCTGTGTAAAGCTGGCCTACCCTGTAACAATGTGTTCAATGTTTGTCTTCTCGACTGAATTCTATTTCCATAAGGATATAAATTTCATCAATAATATATGAATAAATATTCATCCATCTGTAGGAATGATGATTTCCTTTATGTATCGTGTATAGACCAAATACACTATCTGTTCTCAATACATGTTGATAAGTCAGAATCATAAAAATACTTTGTCCAGCGCAGCATAGTTTCAGCAAACATGTATCACACTCCCAGAGCTGGTGTGCCAAATGAAAAGTCACTTCAGCTGTCTCAGCATGAGAACTTACGTATTTACTCATTTGGGAAAGAAATGGGCATAATTTAACCAGAATAGCAGAGTGTCTGCTCCAGAGAGGTCTTGGGCTGAAGCAATTGGAACCTTAATCTCTCCAAAATAACAGGGTCTTGGCAGAGGTGAATGGGGAATCTTGCCCAACACTTGACCACACTGAACTGGCTTCAGTCAAGCCCTCACATTTACATGTACCAAAATCTACATGTTTATTAATTTGAAAAGGTAAGGGTAGACAAAGCAGTCTTAATTGTAAACAAAGCAGTTTTATGGTAGACTAAATAGTTTCAGAGTTATTCTGTTTAAAATTTTATTTGTAAACTGAATAATTCATTTAATGGAGCAATTATTCACATCTTAGGACTGGTTATTTTATGAGCTGTGTTTTGTTAAGAATGGTGTTTGGGCAGCTCAACAATGAATTCATGGTAAATTGTGAGAAAGATGAGAAAAAGAAATAATTTAAGATGAACTGACACTGAACTGCAAAGTTTATGTGGCAGAATGCATGCATGAGCGTTGAGATAGGGCTTTTAAAAATTCTGTGACTTGTTCTGGGAAATCACAGAGCCCCTGCTAAGCGCCTCCAGCTGCAACCCAAATGGTGATATTTTCATATGTAAAATGCTAAATGATCATTTAGAGATCTTTCAGGCAAACCACAGAGGAAATCCGCAAATTACTACAGCAGACTTTATTTGTGTTGACATTTATGTACACAATCAAATAGGCTTTTCTCTAAGTGTCTCCATTAAAGGCTTGCTTTAAAAAATTGTCTATTTTTCCTACAATTGATTATAGAAACGAAGAATAAACATAGACAAAAGTTATTGTCTTATTTATCAATGCACATATACTATGCTATAACTCTGTACTAATAATCAGTTATATAAACAAGTGATGAGTGAGAACAAATTGACAGTTTCCTCATTTCCTTATAAGTAAATGCATTATTATCAAGTTGATCATTTCTGGAAGTAAATAATACATATTCCTCATGATACTAAGGGACCACTAAATAAAATACTGCTATAATATACTACATTATACTTAATCGTTTTTAGCAAAAAGACATGTCTGTCTTGACGATCCTCCAAATTCATCTATGAGAGGCTATGCCATAACACTTTGTAACAGAGAATGGAGATGTCCTAAATATTCCATTGTTATTTCACATTGGCTGGAGATTGAGACTGAGCATGATGTCTTAAGAGATTTTTAAAGAAAACTGGCTATGTTTTAAGTATGTACTCTCTATTTTCACATTTTCCTTGGAGGCTGAGTCAAGTTCCTAATTGCCATATGACAATTAGGGTAATTGACTATTGTTTAGTAAATTAGCATCCTGCCAAGTTAGTATGGAACTTAGGTTCCATTTGAATTACTCATTAGGGATTGCTTTATGGAATTTTGAGCCTAGTGTATAATAATGACTATAACTAAACAGTTACCCCATGCTTGAAAGAACTATTAAGAAAATAGTTAAAAAGGAGGAAATGGTCCCAGAACAAGTGCCAATGGTTTTAGAGTAATACTAAAGCCAGTGATGTGTTCGGGAGATGTTCCTGGGGGGACAGGATGCTCTAAATGTAGAACCAGGTTTATGCAGCATTGTAGTTGTGTTGGAGACTGTTCTCTGTGGTGTGGGCCTGCTCCCACTTGGAGATGCACAGGACCCACGCCCACAGATAGGTTCTCCTGTGGGAAATCAGGCCTGCAATGTGCCTAGGCCGCTTTGAGTCTTCCTCTTGCTAAAAAACTCCCTCACCCTGAATTGAGGACATTTACTGCAAAGTAACTTCCTAAAATCCAGGCTAAACCTTCCAAGGATGAGTGTAACTGGTTCAACCACTTTTGCCTTTTCATTTGCAAATATCCCTCTTTTGTGATGTGATTTGCAGCATTGGCTCCTTTGTTTTCTGTAAAAGGTAACCACCTAAAGTGAGCCTGTGCATAGTAAATGAGGACCATCATGTAATGTGCCCAGAGATAGAAATAAAGGCCTGTCATGGTGGAGGCCAAAGCTTTTGCTCCCCTTGAGAGAAAAGCCATGCTGTCCCTTTTCCTCCACCAGACTGGGTAGTCTGTGTGAATGTTTCATTTCATCCATAATGACGTGGACACTGCAGTCCAGTGTCTGCATCATAGTTAGGTATCTAGAAACCTGGTTTTTAATTCATTCTCAACAGACTCTCAATTTCTTCAATAACTCCTAAAAGGAAAGAAGACAGTAATAGACATACTCTTATATGTTTAATGTCTCTACTTCCCTTCCACAAACCTCATGTCCTGAGAAAGTGGTTTCTACCAGGAGACTTGAAGTCAGTTTCTGGATTGACAGATACAGGCTACTTGTAGGAATTTGAGAAATTCAAGGGAGATGTCTCACCAGGAACTCAAGAAATGGAATTTTAGGTGTGGTTAGTGAATGACTTAAATCTGCCTTAGTAGACCTCTTTGGAGATGGAAAATGTTCTCTATAGTTCCAGAGGGCTCAAAGCCACACAATACTTTCCTTTCCATAGTGGACTTCCTCACCACTTTAGAATGACTATATGGCAGGATGGAGAGTTACTGGAACTCATATGTCAAGTTCATAACGGTAAGGTGGTAAAAATTCTGCCTTTGCATTCCTGCAGAAAACCACTGAGATGAGTCATCCTCTAGGGGGCAATAGAGTATGATATAGACTCAGAATTGACTGGATCAAGTTCCTTAGGGAAAGATGGATCACAAATAACTATTAGAAAATCTTAGAAAAACATTAAATAGTCTCCAACTTCATTCTAGTCCCCAGAATCCCCCTAAATTTTTGTCATTAGTAAACCTAAACAGGCTGAAGTGGACCAAGAGATGAATGTAGGTGCCCAGCATTGCTGATGAAGGAGCCTAAACCCCAGATCTGGAGTAGACTTGAGGAAGGGATGAGGCAAAGCTGACTCAACTTCTTGAAGGCTGATGCTTTTAAGTGAAGTTTCTGACCCCAAGGAGCCCCTGACTTGCCAGGGGAGTTTCAA